CTGTCCTTTTCTCCTCCAGAGTCGCTGGGCTGGACGCTCTGGGAGCCCTGGTCTTCCTGCTCCAGGAGCTGCCTTACCCTTGGAGGAGGCCCTGGGTGGCGCAGTCGTTCCCGGCTCTGCCCCAGCCCCGGTGACACCTCCTGCCCAGGAGAAGCCACCCAGGAGGAGCCCTGCAGCCCCCCTGTGTGCCCAGGTGTGCCCCCTCTGTCCCCGGAGTGGCCTGGGCACTAGGGTGGGATGAGGAACAAGGGAGAAGAATGACCCCTTGGGCACCTGGGGCAGGGAGGCTAGAGCAAACCTATTGTCCCGAAGAATCTCCTCCACCCCCAGCCTGTGATTCACAGGGTGGGCCGGACCTGAAGGGACCTTTGGGACAGTCCTGGAGGTGTGGCCCTCCTGCACCCCGTCCCCTACCCGCACCTTTGCCAGCGTCCGTGATGACAAACTTGGCTCTTCCTGACAGCGCAAAGCATCTGGGGTCTGTGGGCTCCCTGGTCCACCTGCTCAGCCCCCTGTGATGGGGGCATCCAGATTCGTGGGCGCAGCTGCTCCGGCTCCACCCCTGGGGACCCCGAGTGCCAGGGACCTCACAGCCAGACCAGGGACTGCAACACGCGGCCCTGCACAGGTGCCAACCTCCCCCTAACCCTTGCCGTTCTCTACCCAGCCACGTCCAGCCAGCCCCCCGGGGATTTTGACCTCTCTCCACCCCACCTTCTCACATCACTGACCTCTGGCTCCAGGTCAGGCCATACCCTGAACTAAGAGACTCCCGGATTTCCTGTGTCTCCCTCCTCTGGCTCCCATACCCTGAGGACCGGGCACTGGTCCCCAGTCTTTGCTCCTCCCTGCCCAAGGCCTCCTTCCCAGGCATGTGGCCGAGGAGGTCAGACTGGCCTCTGGGCAGAACCACTCACTGCAGGAATTTTGAGAAGCAGGGCCAGCCCTTCTTTAGAAGCCCTTGGCCCCATTCTCCCTGTCCTTTCTCCTTTGTCCCACTCCTGGCCCAGGTGGCTTCTGTCTTCCTGCTCTACTTCCAAGGATATTTGTATTAAAGTCCGGCAAAGCTATGAATCTTTACTGGCAACCTTTCAGACACTGGAGCGAGCCTGCAAGGGAGGGGGAGTGGGAGGGGTTTCCCGTGGCTCCTCAGTCCTGCTCCCCGACCACCGGCATGTAGCTTCCCCTTGGCCCCTCCATCCCC